CCAGAATTCCCCAGCCAGCCATGCTGGCTGGGGAATTCTGGGAGTTGAAGTCCACACATCTTCAGCTTGTCAAGGTCAAGCATTGTAGTTCCATGGTTGGGCTAGAATTAGAGAGACCCAGGTTCAAGTCTGCACTCAGGTGTGGGAATTCATCGAGTGACTTAGACCCACTCATCCTCTCTGCCCACCTTGCAGGGGTGTGGTTAGGATAAAACGAAGGGAGATCCATACCCCGAGGTCTTGGCGAAAAATGAGCGAATAAATAAAGCAGAGTGGAACAGCTGTGTTTTGCAGATGTCCAGACCTGCATCTGACAAACATCCAGGGTCGAGCTGTCTTGAAGTCACCACCAGAATCAAAGTCAGCTCTAAAGGGAAATAAAATCCATGTATTGCTGGGGAATCATTGCTATTTTGATGTAGAAAATAATAATAGATAGAATGAAATAATAGAATAAAATGAGCATCTGAAACTTCGTGCATGTCCAGGTGGTGGTCCTTACCTAAAAACGTTTTGAAAAAATAAGAACTGTTTGCTGCTGCCCAACATCTGCAATTCACTGGCTGCAATTCCATACCCAGCCACTGGGGGTCATTTGGCCCACCAACTCAAGAAGGAGAGGGGCTTTTTTTTGGTAATAACTTTATTAAATTTTTAAACAAGAAAGATAAAAATGAACAAGAACTAATATTTAAGATAAAAGAAAGAAAAATAGAGGACAAAGCCAAAAGTGCAGAAAGAAAAGAAAGAAAAAAGAAGTATAAAGAAATGACTTCCAATTTTCTTTTACAACAGTTATAGACATAAATTTAAATTGAACTCCTACTGTAAGGTTACAACATAACTTTCATTTTTTATGTCATCTCATATTTTTTCTAATCATCAAGCCCATATATCATAATTACATTTTTTCCCTGTTTCACACAAAAGGGGTTTCCAATCAGAATTGAACTTAGTGTCTTTTCTCTAATTAGAGCTGTCACTTTCGCCATCTCAGCCAACTCTGTCATCTTCGCCATCCACTCTTCCATTGTGGGTAATGTCAAATCTTTCCACCATTGTGCGTATAAAAGTCTCGCTGCTGTTATCATATATAAAAACCAAGTTCCATGAGTTTTTTTCAACTCTGTCAATCAGCCCCAAAAGAAACATTTCTGGCTTCAGTTAATCTGAATTAATGTATGTATTTGGATCCAAAGTTTTAAAACTTTTTTACATGTCCACCAAGCATGATACAAAGTCCCCTCTTATTCTTCACAGATTCAAAGCACCTTTATACATTTTAGACAATTTTTCTGGTGACAAATACCAACGATACATCATTTTATAAAAATTCTCTTTAAGATTATAACACAATGTAAATTTCAGTCATTTCATCCACATATTCTCCTATTGTTCCATTTGTATGTTATAACCAAAATTGGCCCATTTTATCATGCATTCTTTCACTTCTTCTTCTGTTTCAAATCAGTCAATCAGTTTTCTCGATTGCTGTAAACTTTTTTTGGAAAACACAGTTTTAAATGATTGATTAAAAAAAAGTTGGTTTCTTTTTCTTTTGAATATTTTGTTCCCTTGGCTGTTGTATTTCAAGAGTTTTAAAGAGATTCATGCTGTGAATCAGGAAGCCTCCAAAGATAGCTCTTCCATGAACTTAATAAGGGGACTTTTGACAAGCTGGCCCATGTGCAAATCATGCAACTAAACTACCCATACACACACACACACACGTACACACAGAGAGACACTCATCTGATTCACACATAATGGTTTGCTTAACCATGGTTTATCAAATAAACCAGAAGTTGTTGTTTGCACACAATATGCTAAGCAAACACAAAACAAGCCACATTATCAGTAAACATGATGTGGAACCCAGATCTTCCCAAATGCTCACAAGATGAATTACTGACCCCAGTTTTTAAAATCATTTTAACTTGACAATCTCCTGCCATTACAATTAATGGCTGATGTTCTTAACTGGCAGGGAGGCGAGTCCTGAATTTGTGGGTCTTTGGTGCTCTCTGAGCTTGGCTGTTTGCTTATGGACGTTTCATTACCTTACTAGGTAGCATCATCAGTGCACCTGATGGTGCATCGTCCTGGTGCACTGATGGTGTTACCTAGTCGGGTAATGAAAGGTCTGCAAGCAAACAGCCAAGCTCAGAGAGCACCAAGGGCTCCATAGTTCAACCCTGAGCTGCAGATCTTCTCTTCTATTGGCGTCCTGAATCTGCCAGCCCAGCAACAGTTTCCCAGAGAAGGATATGTGTGTGGGCTTATGAACTGCAGCAAGATCTGTGCATATTAACTCAGTGTGCCTTTCTCCTCTCATGGACATACAGGAAAAAATAGCTCTAGTGTGAGAGTCAGCCAACTGTACAGTGTAAAAGTTTGCATTTCCATCCTGGCTATCTGTAAATGCTGATCTATAAATACCCACCCTGGAGATTCCAGGTTTTGCTTTGGCAGCAAGGCAGCAACAGAGCCAGGAAAATATTAGAGAGCAAAGCAGGAAGCTGTTCCAACAGGTGCAGAGCGATAAAAAGGGATTGTAAAATGAGAACTTCCCAGCTGTCCTGGCCCCCGAGCTGCACTGGAGTCAAGACCACGTATCTACAGATTTGAGCACAATCCAATCCAAACTCTCCCTCACTGACACCGCTGTGCCAGGGGATTTGGGGCGACCCCTCCTCCCACCCTCTTTCCAGCTGAGTCTCTTTCCAGAGACTGAAAAGAGAAGCAGGCAAAGCTTGGTGGATGACACTCCTGAAGCTCCAGAGCTTGGCAGATCTGGAAGTGGTGTTCCCCCAAGTGGTTTATAAGGTGCATCCAGAGAAGAGCTGGGCTACAATCTGGACACTGCAGAAAAGGTAAGTTTCGTGCATTTGCTGGATTTTAGAGGAAGATGATACTGTACTGTGGTCTGGCTCCAGGACCTGTTTCCAGTGTTAGAAAGACAAAAATGGATCATTGAGGAGGAGACCTTCAAAAGCTCCTGGGTTACAACCTGCTTGGTTTTAACTAGCCTGGAGAAAGGCCTTTTTTCTTTTAGTCTCAAGCCTCTTGATTTTGCTAACTAATTACATGGATTTCTTTAGAAAGGAAGAATATAGAAAAATACACTGTCAGTCACCTTGTCTGACAAATGGCAGCCCACAGAAAGCCACATGCTCTTTGTTGGGAAGTCAACTCACCATCTAGTCTGCTTGTTGGACTTCATGGCTAGCATTGGGACAAAATAATCTAATCAGGGTTAGACATGAGCTATGGGTGCTCAAACATTCATAATCTCAAATGAGTGATCAATGTCTGGATTTGTATCTATAGCAAACAGCTTTAACAAAGTTGGGGTGTTTTTTTTTAATTTATTCATACTGACTCCATTTAACATTAAACCAAAGGTGATTTTTGAGTTGTTGTTTTGTATTCAAGTAATAAAACCCATTTTTTAAAAATCGAGGACTTGTTTGTTAAATTGAATTTTTATTGCAAATGACACATTTGCACACATACACACCCCTGTTTAAACCATCACAGTCTTGTGACCCTCAGTGGTTTACAGAAATAAAAGCATACACAACACAACAATATCAATTATGATAGCGAAACCATTGACAAATATTTTTAAATTATGAAATTGTGATATAAATTGATGCAAATGATGCAAATTTGGATTTAATGGACATTTGGATGTAACAGAACCTCCTCCCCCCCAATGCCCTGTTAAACTGAGGTTTTACTCTATGCATCCCATGATTTAGGGATGAAATAGCTCTAGCCAAAATTGCAGGACATGATTTCCCAACGTTACCTCAGATTTTCTATCAAGCCAAGTCTGCCTTCCTCTAAAGGCTGACATGTCTGAATAAGTAACCAGAACAGGTTAAACTGAGCACGTGTGAGAGGCCTCTCAAGGAACGGGGCTCTCAATTGACTTGCGAAAGGCCAGCTCAGCCTAGCCTTCCAGCAGGAACGCCGCAGCCTTTCCTTGCAATCTCCTCTAATCTATCTGAAAATCCAGCAAGAGTAACCGGGGAACCTGAGATTTCACCTTGGGACTGCTCCAGCTCTCTGCAGCAAGAGTCCAGATGGTTTGACTTGCCTCCTATCACTTGCATGCAAACCCTTGAAATAATTCCTGCTGTGACCTCCCTCAGAATGCCAGGAACGCTCCAGCCAGACCTGTTTTGGAATTCAAAGCGGTAGAAGCAGGCTGGTGGACAAAAATAGTGAAAATGGTAGAAAGAGAGTAGAAAGGTGGAACTCTTTACTGTACATTACAATACATTACATTACAAATTGGATTGTGTGTGTGGGGGGGGGGTTGGTCTCAATGACCTAATGTCCCTTTTCAATTCCATAATTCTGTGATAAGTGGAGGACTGTCTCCTGTGTGAGGCCTCCTCTGTTTGAAAGGCTGCCTCATCTACTACATGCACTTGTCGATTCCATCAACATGTACAGTAAGAATCTTGAGTGTCACAAATAATACTAAGATCATAGAACCATAGAATGGGAAGGGCTCATTCAGACCATTGAGTCCAACATTCTGTGGCTCACCCTTGAGGGGGAAATGAGCTGTGGTGTACAGCAGCCTGGTTTGCCCAGTTGCCCTGACCTGGGGTGGGGAGGGAATACTTCAAGTGTGGGGATGGCTAGCCCCATAGAGGCCTGCTGTATTCAGCCCCAGATTCTTCATCTTCTTGGACTCTCCTTTTCTTTTTTAGTAATGTTTTTAAATTGATGTTTTATGTATTTATAT